CAATTGAGAAGAGAGGCTGCCATGAATAGGGCCCAAGGCCATCAACCTGCCTTTAACTTCTAAAGTCTGAAGAACAGTCTGGATTTCCAGGTTGACAGCAACATGCCACTCTCCAACATGGCCATCTGAGTGTAGGAAAGAAATTCTATGGAGACCCAGTCCTTTTGCCAGTAAAAAGACAATATCCCTAAGCATATTGGGTTTGATAACTAGCCTTTGAGTGTCTTTCACTGATGATGTCTGGGACCTCATCAACAGAGAGACCAATCAGTGAGTTTGAAATATTTTTGTTCTATTTGTATTAAGAAAATATCTTTTGTATTGAAAAGTTGGAATATATTACTTACATCTCCCCTCCCACTCCCTCAGGTATGGGACTGCCAACCCTTTTGCCACTTCCCCTCACACAAGGAAGTAGATGCCCATATCCAAGCAAGAGGTCTGTGTGTACCACGGACTTCGCTTTATGATGAGGATACAGCTATGGTCCTGTTGCCTAGACTGCTGTTTGACAGATCCCTTGCTGTAGTCTGATATCATCACAGAGGTTATGCCAAGGGTTTGGATCAAACAGCTCAAGACACGCCTCCACTTCACCCACATAGAGGAAGGAACTCCACCTCCAGAGGACAGAATGTGGAAGCTCTGGCCAGTGATGAACACCCTCAATGATTCATTCCTCTTGACATTAGTGCTAGAGAGGGATATTGCTATCGTTGAGTCACTGTGGAAGTTCTGAGCCCTCATCCACCAAGTCAGGGCTGCAGTTAATATACTGTGGCAGCTTGCTTGGTAATGCATACCAGTTGTTTGTGGACAACTAGTATGTGTTGCCAACTCCTTTTCAGCAACTGCAAGTTTGTAGGACTAATTAGGTAGGCACAACCCAGCTGAACTGCAAGTTTATGCCTAAGGACCTCAGTGTGAGGAGACCAGCCATAGGTTAAATCAACAGGCTAGTTATATGTAGGAATTGTCATGTTGCTTATTGTTTGGGATCATGCAATTCAATTATTCAAGGCTTGTTTAGAGTTTGCTCTTGTGAAGCAACCATGATTGCTGTGCACATGGTATGCTTTGTGGCAAAGTGTAACAAAGTCACATAATTAACGTTTTTACTTTAGGCAAAAAAGAAATAAGAAAGAAAGAAAGGTGGTCCCTCAAGCCTGCTGTATAGGGAGGGAGGATAAGATATGTTTTTAGATGTTAAGCTCTTATAGTACAAAAAATGTACACCTCAGTTGTCATTTCTAGCTAAAATAAACACAAACCAATTGAAAGTTTTCATCATTAAACCTATTTAAAGTAAACAAAAACATCTTTGATAAAGAAACTGTGAACATATATATATATATATATATATATATATATATATATATATATATATATATATATATATATATATATATATATATATATATATATACATGCAATTTTACATGATATATATAATCATATTTAGAATAACAGGTGCAAGAAATCTTCAAGACATACTGTACTTGGCAAATACTTCTAGTTTTTCTCTCACAGTTCACTTTAATACTGGAGTAACATTCATTTCTGCCAAGGACCTGCATTTCCATTGTTGAAGTTGTTTATGGAAGTTTCTTGCAATGTTACTTGGAAATATTCATGCAACTTGATTTCCTTAGAAATAGCATTTGAAACATATTTTCAGTATTTTATGAGTAAATAAACATATGTCTTATTTTGTGATTTTTTTAACTGATAGAAAGTATTACAGTTACAAAGTCTAGGTCCAGTCCCTTCTGCTATAAATATATAGATAAACAGACATTCACAATTATTATTATTATTATTACAGAAGCCCATGAGCAAGAAGAGAAAGATAGATGGGGATGATTCGTCATCAGCAAGCACCAGCAAGCAGGACCAGGCACTGAAGAGTATACCTTTGATGCACAAGAGACCGGAGACTGCTTCCACTCCCATCTCAACTCGGTAGTTACTGTTATTGTTATTTTTATTTATTTATTTATTTTTTTATTATTATTATTATTTTTTTTTAATTAGATTTCATTATATCTATCTATCTGTCTTTGTGTGTGTGTGTGTGTGTGTTTGGGTGTATGTATGTATGTATGTTTTCCTTATTTTGCATTTATATTCTATCAGTTTCAGTTGCCAATTATTTTTCTCTTTCTTTATTTTTTCTTTTTTTTCTATTCTTTTCTTTCTTTTTTTTCTTCTTCTTTCTTTATTTCTTTCTTTCTTCATATACCAAAGTGCCTTTTTTGTTGAGAAGGGATTAATTATTTACTTTTCTTTTTTGATAGTATTTTTATTGTTAGTAGAAGTACAATATATAAAGTTGATTATGAATAACTAAACTGTATGGCCATTAGATTAGTTTCACATGATTTTCAATACTGAAAAGTAATATATGTATATCTTTCAGTTGTTGTTCACATGACGGCCAGCCAGGACTAACGCCAAAAACAAAAAACAAGCCAACACCAGAAAGCCGTAAGTAGAGATGTGGTGTCCCCTTTTGCGTTCGGTTTTGCGTTTTTCTTATTTTTTCATTTTTGCTCAAGAAAGCATATGTATACTAAGTAAATTAATTTTATTCCACAAGTAGGTGGTTATATTTGTTAAAGGAAGGTAGTGATATTTGCAAAGATAGAAGAAATGGTAGATGTTAATACATCCATGACTGTCTAGAGGGTTTAGTGCACCAAGGGCAGGCAGGTATATTTCTGACAAATTCAAATACCAAAGAAACCTGATTTACTCTGTAAAGGTAGTGGATAATGATGAAGGATGAAGGAACAAAGTCGACTGGTTACAGAAGACCACGACCAACCACAAGAGATAGAAAGGTGTGATTGAGGTTTACATTTTACATCTCCGCGGTCAATAGACTCGGTGATTGGGAGCCCAGGCACGGAGCAAGGGTGGCAGAGGCAGGGGAGGGCAGATAATGCTTGGGTATCAACACATGTTTCTTGGCATATTGTTTCCCACACAGATATATCCCATGTTGGCAACAGGTGATAATGCTGTCATGTTGTCGCAAATCACAGATATCATTTGGTGCCTCATCTTGGTATGTGTCACCTTCCTGATTGCTTGGATGAGGTTGCATGGGCCCTATCATGAGCAGGACATGTTCTGGACATGCAGTAACATACCTCTGCCCTTGTGCTACTTGGTCAAAAATTCAACCAGACAGTACTGGGTTAAATATGCCCACATGACCGTAGATAATTATTTTAGCTGACATTCCCAGTTGAGTTTATTGTAGATCTAAAACTTTACTTCAGGAAGTGATTTTGTATATGAAGTAAAACAGCTTGGAAAAAATAGATTATATCTGCCTAATCTTATCTAATAGTTAAACTTCAATTTTATTTTATTTTCTCATTGTATTTAATTTCTGATATTCATCGTGCAGAACACAGCAAACACCAGACTCTAATCCTAAAGGGCCTGCTAGAAGATGTAACCTTTGCGGATGTGACACTAACAGCTGAAGGGAAGTCATTAAAAGCACACAAGGTGAGCTGTGAGTAAGTGCATACAAGAGAAGGAATAAAGAACCATTTGATAAGTCCTTCATAGTTTCTCACTTCTTACTTGAGCCATGTATATTTGCTTTTATCCACAGACCAAGTTTTAACCTCATCATTATGCCAGTTTATATTTCCAGAGATTGCACTTATTGCATGATAATGAGGACTTATAGATATATTAATAGGTTGCTCAAGAACTTCTACTGACTTTCCTTCCATCATTGTCTCTCCTGAAGGCAGTGTTGTCGGCCATGAGTCCCTACTTCAAGAAAGTGTTGCAGAACAACCCCAGTCCACACCCCATTATCATCATGCCTCTTGACATGCAGTTTGAGGATCTCAAAGGAATAATAGATTACATTTATATGTAAGTTAGATTTCCTTTGATATGTAATTGACAATAATGGTTATAAGTTGCAGAACCTTGTAGACATGACAAATGCACAGTTCGGTTAGAGTGTGTGTGTATATGAGTCCGCTATAATCAACTATTCATAATTGACAGGGGTGAGATAGTTGTGTCAACTGAGAATCTATCCTCGCTCTTCAAAGCTGGTCGTGTTCTTCAGGTTTCCGGCTTGACAACAGTAGATGCTGTAGGTGTAAAGGCACCCAATGCACCTTTTTTTGATAATGACCAGTCAGTACATAAGGATACCAGTGGAGCAACTTTATCAATGGAAACCAACCAGGGGAGTGAAGTAAGAAATGAGGACGCCAATAAGCTGCAGTCATCTCATGGATCTCGAAAAAGCAAAGGATCATCTGTGGAAAATGTAGCAGAGAGGCAGAAACACAAAGATAAAGGGGCAAACAGTACAATAGTCACTGTGGAGGCTGCTGAACCGTCGGAGAACAGAAACCAGAAGAGACCGGAAACCGTAGACTCGTCAAAGACAGAATCCTTTGAAAAGACTCCTGCTCAGCCACTGCAGGCCAGAGGAAGCTGTACAGTTATATCAGATGATGACAGTTCAAAGTGCATGTTTTTGACTGATGAAGAAACTATGTCGTGTGACTTTGATTATAAATATTTTGAGGAACAAGAAGAGGTAAGTTAGTTAGTATGCTATACTGTAATGTGCTGTGATTTATAAAATATTTATCCATATATATACATTTATACTTGTATACATATATATACACATACACATACCTACGTATATAGGTACTTCTTCTTTTGTTTTTTTTTTTATCTATTTATTCATTTATAACTGATCTCTAATAGTTTCATTTGATATTTGTTTTCATTTCAGGAATTAGATCCACTTCAGATTCATAGTCATGGAAGTGATGACTCCTTTCATCAGTCTGCAAACATATCTAATGGACAACAGTGTGACTCCATAAACTTTGTGACAGTTAAAGAAGAACTTGAAGACTAAAACTAGAAAAAAATTCTCTCTCTCTCTCTCTCTCTCTCTCTCTCTCTCTCTCTCTCTCTCTCTCTCTCTCTCTCTCTCTCTCTCTCTCTCTCTCTCTCTCTTTCTCTTTCTCTCTCTCTCTCTCTCTCTCTCTCTCTTTCTCTTTCTCTCTCTCTCTCTCTCTCTCTCTCTCTCTGACCTCTCTTTCTCTTTCTCTCATCCTCTTACTCTTCCTCATTTTCTTTCTCTTTTTTATCATCTTCCTACCTTTTGCTAATTAAAATGATTAGAATACAAAAAAAAACAGATCTGTTGTGCAGATGAGCTAGATTGATGCATTCGTTATCGCAATGCAGTAGATAAGCTTTTCTTATTAATATGATAAGACTAACATGTTGAGTGATGATATTACATTTGGCAGAAGTCCATTCAATGCTTTGTTTGTTTCATATTTGCAGAATGGAAAAATATTATTCAAACAAATTATGAATCGTCGTACAAAGAAGAGGAGTTCAAAATGCGTGTCAATTTTCTTTGTTGTGTAATTGTCATGAAATCTAATGTGTTGACATATTCACTGCTTATTTGCAATATATTGTTGCAATTGGTACAGCATCCTTTTTTTTCTGGTGGTTATGAGTTTGAATAAGAAGATGATATATCACAGTTTATGATTTTGTATCAGACCCTTTCCATATATCATATGACCTCTGATTTTATATTGTATTTTGTTTATACAGTTCAGAGCAGGAGGTATTATGTTTACTGTAAGGAAATCATATATGTTTTGAGGAATGCTTTATTTTTTTTTTAAATCAGATTTTAGTAACTATGCCAAGGAAAACAAAGAAAAAAGAATGGAACATTTTTATGATATTTTAAGAATATTTATTTTCTCTTTGGAACTTTTGATAAGAAAAGGAATCAAGGATGCTGTGAATCTTGTGTCAGATTTTCAGGTAATCTTGGCATCAGTCAGTCAGAAGGGCTAATACCTCGGAGGGTGCATTGCCACTTCCTCTCTTATTTTGCAACACCTGCTGAGCCACCAGACAGGGGCACAGGCTATCTGAATTTCCTAGTAACATTTAATTGATTTGCCCAAGCCATGATCCAACTACTTTTTTATGCAAAAAGTATGAATATAGTACATTGCAGAATAGCTTCAACAAATTTTATTGATATTTTGTATGCTTTGAACTTTTTACTTTTAAACATTTATATATGGTATCCATATACTGTGAAAGCATTTGACTAATATAGAAAAGCTTTGAATATAAATTCTATTCTAAAACACAAGATATATAATATATTTTCTGTGTTTTCTTTAATAAACTGTGTTGATATTTAATTAAGCTTGTCCAAATATATCTGATTTTTAAAATGAACTTTGAATTGAGGTTTACCTTTAATCTGTATGATTGAAATATATTTGTATAATTTATATGTATATTGTGAATTTGTATATTTGATAAAATAAATATAAAAGAATTAAATCTTTCAGTTTGCATAAACCACATGCACAGTATATAGGTTTATTTCCATATATATACAAATATCCACTTTGTATGTGTGTTAATTTTGGTCTCTAAATAAAAAAAACTTTTTAACCACTCTTTCTTCAAAGTTTGTGGGATTTTTTATTGGTTTAAAAGGATTAGGAAAAATGTAGAACATTTTTAAATAATGAATAAACGACGGGAAGTGGAATAAAAAAAGAGAAAACATCCAACAGTAGTTATAATTAAAAAATAAAATAAAATTCACTTTGAGTGTTAATTTGAAAATCCTTGTTCATGTGGTGGAGAAAAGTGTTCATTAACCCATTCACCTTGTGGCAAAAATACATGCCATGCCCACTGTAATACACGTTTATTTATTGCATTTATACATAGATGGCTCTTCAAGTTCTTAATCACCAAACTACCTATCTCACCTGTTTACCCTTCTCCTTCACTTTAGGGAAGGGTTTTTTGTATCATTTCATTGTCTAAAATATTTTAATGACAATTTAATAATCATAACATCAATAACAATAATAACATTATCGATAGCAATGGTAATAATTTTCCCACCAATTCAATGAATGGGAAAATCAGGATCGGTAACTAGGGCCTACTGATAGACTCCTTGCCGGCTGAGCACATGTGGAGCCATCTGTATGTAACAAAATTCACCAAGAACTAGGGGGGACAGAACATAAATCCAGGGCGAATGGGTTAATGACAAGGCTATGACTTGTTTGATGTGGATATCGATTATCTTCTTGATAGGGAAACATTGCTATTTGTTTTTCCTAGTATGTATATCCTGTGTGTGTTTTCATATATATATATATATATATATATATATATATATATATATATATATATATATATATATATATATATGTTATGTATACGTTATATCTATCTATCTATATATCTATATATCTATATCTATATCTATCTATATATCTATGTCTATATATCTATATCTATATCTATGTCTATATATATCTATCTGTCTATCCGTCTATCTATCAATTTATCTATCTATCTATCTATCAACTTATCTATCTATCTATCTATCAATTTATCTATCTCTCCCTATATATATATGTGTGTGTGTGTGTGTGTGTGTGTGTGTGTGTGTGTGTGTGTGTGTGTGTGTGTCTGTATATGTGTATATATATATATATATATATATATATATATATATATATATATATATATATATATATATATATATGCATATATATATATATATATATATATATATATATATATATATATATATATATATATATATATGCATATATATATATATATATATATATATATATATATATATATATATATATATATATATATATGCATATATATATATATATATATATATATATATATATATATATATATATTTATATATATATATATATATATATATATATATATATATATATATATATATATATATATATATTTATATATATGTATGAATATATACGCTGGAATACAGATATATATATGTGCATATATATATATATATATATATATATATATATATATATATATATATATATATATATATATGTATATTTATATATATGTATGAATATATACGCTGGAATACAGATCCTAAACGTAGATTTTTGTTTCAACTTCAGGCGAACGCCTCCAACGGGATACCCGAGACCCTTACAAGAACGCCATCAAAACCAAAATACGACAAAAATCCTTCTAAAAAATAATAATAATTATCACCACCTAAAAAACAAAACACTTAAAAAAAACAAGTCCAAAGAAACCCCAAAGATAAAACCCAACCCCTCAAAATAAGACAAAAAGAAAAGAAAATAAGAAAGAAGAAAAAATCTCCACAACGCGACCCGGTTTTATCGAGCAGAATCGCCCACGTTGTAGTCGCGACCCAACGTGGTATCAACTCCGGGTCTATTTATGTCCTAATTTTCCCCCTCTGCGGCGCGATATAAGGTTTGATATTAAGTGAATGAGGTTTTTATACCCAGTTGTGATCCTTAAATGTGGTATAATTAGGATTAGAGGTCTTTAATTGCGTAAAATTGGGTGATTAAGGACGTAAATGTGGCCAGGGTCTCGGTACCTCGATTTTGTATGGTGAAGCGACGTTAATATTTTCTCTCTTTTTTTCTTTCTTTTTTAGTTAATATTTTCTCTCTTTTCGTTTCCAGGACACGATGAAGTTCAAGAGGACGAGCGGGAAGGGCAAGAGGTGGAAGAAAGGCGACAGCTGCGTGTCCAATCCCGAGAACACCAAGTTTAGGGAGGCGGCGAGGGGAAGGTTTTTTCAGAAGATTGAAGGTGATGTTGCAATGTGCCGTTTCTGTTTTATTGTTATTATCATCATTATTATTATAATGAATGGTCAATATGTAGTATAAGGTAGTGGCAGAGTTGGGTAATAAAACCTACAAGAAATGATAGAACAACACAAACCAAATGTGTGCAAATGCTTCCCAAGGGTGCTAGGCATATATATTACCATAGAGGTCCAGGGTGGAGAGCCCCCTGGCTAGGGAATATATACCACGGTGTTAGGTTAGGTTGGGTGTTGGGTTAGGACATTTTGTTTAACAGCCACGGGGGTCCTGTTTTACCCCAAAATTCCCCTGATATACTTCATGCCCTCCCTTGCTATCGGGACTATTAACCCAATGGTGCCAGGTGTACAAAAGGAAAAAAAAACTCTACGCTCTAGCAAACAAAGGCGGCGCGCCGACTTCGAGTGTGCGAGTACGGGACGTCAACCTGAATCACTGGCTCGCCGCCGGCTCGTTTGGCTGCACGCCAGCTTTCGAGCGGTTTGTTTACATGCCTGTCGGCGTGACCCGGCACCAAGGGATTAAATCAGGATTGCCAATGGAGATGGTGATCACATCTCAATGATTCATTTGCACAAAGAATATTGCCTAGAATCGTTAAAAGCAGTGGATTTCTTGCAGAAAAATATCAAAATTGCTTCGTAAGTAACCCACTACCGTCTACATATTGACTGGGGGGTTTCTCTTTTCTTTTATGTATAGCACCCTTGGGAAGCATTTGCACACATATTGCCATAGAACAACTTTGTCTTGGTTTGTATTGTTCTATCATTTTATGTAGGTTTTATTACCCAACTCTGCCACTACCTTATACAACATATTGACCTTAAAATTATTATTATTTTGATGCTCTCGGTAGGTGTTTTTGGTGGGAATCTAAGGGGATGGGTATGGACGTTCTTGATTATAATTTAAAAAAAAAGTGTAAATGGATGCATGATGTATGTGCTTTTGACCGGTTCTTTTCCCCTTTTTTTTTTTTTTTTTTTTAAAGTTAGAGGTAAATTTAGAAGTGACACCCACTGTTGATTTATTTACGACAATGAAGTGCTCCTTACCATAAACATTTAGTAGAATACCTCAGGTGTAACAGACTATCCATCTAAGTACCTTCTAAGGATTTTTGGTTTAGGAGAGATTAGAGGTAGATGTGGAAGGGACTCCTAATGTTTTATTTATTGTGTGCACATCAGTTGGTGAATGTTTAGGAAAATATGTTATGTAAAAATAGGCCAATATGGAGTAGTAATGAATGG